TTTTTAATTTTTAAAAAAATCTGCTTTTCCATGATAACTAGTAAGCTATAAAAATCTTTCCATATTTATTGCTCACTTTAGTTTCTCTTATGTGATTCTCTCTCTGTTTTGTTCCAGGGTGACTATCTTATATACCCTGTATAATAATCCTTTCTTGGCTATGTGCACTGAAAATATCTTCTTCCACCAGCCTATAGCTTATCTTCTCATACTGTTATATCTTTGGTTACAAAGAAGTCTTAAATTTTAATGCAGTTGAGCTTATCTATCTTTAAGGTTTATGTTTTTTGTGTCTTAAGAAATCCCTTCTCATACTTAGAACTTTAATATATTCCATATTTATTCTGAAGCTTTAAAGATTTGCTTTCATAAATAGGTCTTAATCTAACTGGTAGTTATTTTTAGTTCTGGCATGAGAGAGATTTTATTTTCTATTGTGATACATGACAAATTCTCTCTTTCCCATTTTCTCCACCACACATTCATAGTGCCCCTACTATCACATATGAAATTTTCATATACACATAGGTCTGTTTCTAGAAGCTCTATTCCACTGATCACTTAATCTATCCTTGTTCAAAAACTGATAACTGGAGAGAGGAGTACTCCTACCGACTTAGTCTTCTTCAGAATTGTCTCAGATATTCTTGGCACTCTATTGTTCAGTATCAACTTTAAAATCAATTAAGAACACAACACTGTTGGTATTTTGATTACAACTGCACTGAATTGATGGGAACTGCACTAACTTGGGAAGAATTGACTTTGCCTACAGAGAAGATTTGCATTTGTTTTTTTGCAGGTACCTGGCAGCACTACCATCCTGGATCCAATTTAAAATAACTGGCTGGGTGGTTTTGAACTATATGATACTGTGAATTTGGGCCCCACACATTCATGAAGATGGGCCTGTGGTTAGAAATTCACAGAGATTTTCTGACACCCCTCTACCCAGTTCCACAGTCTAGATGAACAAGGTGATTTATTTCTAGAGCAGCTTTATGCTGTAAGTGTAGTCCTTTGCAGAGTTTTCTACTAGATTCCTCACCTTAAACTGAGTATAGAATTAACTCTCCTGTCCTTTACTCCACATACCTGTCATGTGGAGTAGCTCAAGGTCACCAGCATTTGGCAGGTGCCTCCAGGGTAAAAGCCACCTGTTTACTTCTTTTTGTTTGTTTGTTTACCTGTTTATACTTCTTTTCACTTCTGCTTCCACTTCATTTTTTATTCCTATGAGTCTTTTCTTTCTTCTCAGCCCAACTATTACTTTTAAAATATATATTTAAAAAATTTTATCCAGCATTTCTAATTTTAGAAGAATGGTTGTTCAGTATTTTAAAATCTTTTATAGCCTAATTTCTACCAATTTGATTTACCGGTTTTGGATGTAAGTTGTATTAAAATCTCTCACTATGATTATAGACTTGTTCATTTTTTATCATTCTGTTTTTGCTTTGTATAGTTCAAGTGGCATACAACTTCATGATTGTTCTATCTTCTTGGTAGATTTTTCCATTTATTAATATGTACTGTTGCACTTCTCTCTAGTTAAAAGTCTTTGATCTTCCATCTGTTCAGTAATGGTAATCTACATCAGTTCTCCCATTTCTGGGCAGTTTTATTTTGGTATCTCTATAGAGTATACAGATGTTTTGTTTTTTATTCAAATTGCTGTTTCTGTGTCTTTTAATCAAGAAGATCAACCCACTTATTATTACTGTGCACTACTCATGTATTTGGAGCTATTTCTTATTTTCTATTTATCATCCTTTTCCTTTGCTTTTTTATTGTTTACTCTTTAAAGCTTTTCTACCTTCTACTGAACTTAACAAGTTTTCAATATTCTTTTTCCCATCCCATCTGCTGGTTTGAAACCTACACACTGTATTTCTACTATTTTAGTTATGGCTTATTTTTTTTCATTGTATGTATTTAACTATTCACTGTTTAAAAGAAGTCTAAAATTTCTTTATATTTTTATCTTCCTCCTGAACATGATGTGGACCTTAATATGTTATACCTTTCCACTGAACAAAACTCCTCCATACATATAACCTATTTGTTGTTACTATCTTCAACTACACTGTTCAATTTTGATAGCCATTAGCTACAAGTGGCTTCCGAGTCCTTGATACATGGCCACAGTGTATATACACACTGGATTTTGAAGATATAGCATGAAAAAAAGTGGAATATCTCAATGTTTTTTATATTGATTACATGTTTGAATGATAATATTTTACACATACTGGGGTAAATAATATATATTGCTAGAAGTTAATTTTACAATTTTTTTAATGTGATGACCAGAAAATTTTAAATTACGTATGTGGCTAGATTTACAATTCTGTTGGATAGTGCTAGATTTTTAGCTTTGTGTTCAATGTACCCCCCAAAAAACCCCTAAATTATCATATTTCTATTAATATTTAATAGCATTTATTATTTCACCTAAAATTTTTCATTCTGAAATAAGTTTTCCTGGATATGATATGGTATTGAAATATGTACGGAGGAGTTTTGTTCAGTGGAAAGGTATAACATGTTAAGGCCCGCATCTCTTAGTATCATCTGCTGCTAATGAGAAACTTTCTGAATAGTTTAATTATTATACCTCTGTAGATAATCTGACTTCTAACTTTGGTGGCTTTTAAAATTTTATCTTTGATATTCTGGAGTTTTTACCATAATCTGTCTAGATGCAGATTTATCTTCAACCTACCTGACATCCTAGAATTTACTTCTGATTCAAGGATTCAGGGTCTTCTTCAATGCTAAAAAATCTCAGCGTTTGTCTTACATCTTCAAAAATTACTTCTTGACCAATCATTGCATCTTTTTCTGTGATTCTTATTTTATACACACACACACACACACACGTTGAGATATCTCAATTAATTCTCTATGTCTTTTAACGACTCTTACATATTTTTATATTTTTTCTGTGTTCTGGGTGAATTTTTTAGTACTATTTTCCAACCCATTAAATTCTTTCATCAATGGTGTAAAGTATAAAATTCATCCATCTATTGAGCTTTTTATATACCAACTACAATTTTAATTTCCAAGAGTTTTCATTGGTTCTTTCCCACATTAATCTGTTCTTGCTGCTTCTCTTTTGTTTCATAATTTTGAGCTCTCTCTAAATGAAAAGTATCCTTTATTCTTGTGCATCCTAAAAATGCTTTAAAGTCTTTTCCAATCAATGGAATACCATGCAGCTGTTAAAAAGAATAAGATAATTCCAGAAGTACTAATATGTAATGATCTCTAAATATGTTAAGTGGAAAAGCCAAGGTATACAATATGTGTAGAATGCTACCATTTATATAAAAGTGTAGGTATATGTATATGTATATGCTTGTACATGCATAAACTATCTCAAAAAGGGTAGCAAGAAATTGGTAATAGTGGTTGCCTCTGGGGAGGGGAACTGGGTGGCTAGGGGACAGAGGTGGGAGATAGACTTACTTTTCACTGTTTACCCTTTTGTACCTTTGAATTTTGTACCACGTGCATGTATTACCTAGTCAAAAAAAAATAAATATTTTTAAAAATAAAGTCTTTGTTGGACTACTCCATAAAATTAATTTTATCCAGAGAAAACACCTGTTCTAGTTACTGATTTTATTATATTAATATTAGATGTCTTCATGAGTTTCAGAATTTTGGTTATAGGCTCATTTTGAATAAGAAAGGTTTTTTATTTTTTTTCTCTTTTCCCATATTAATGGTTTTGTGGTTGCCCCCACTTGGATTTTCGGACTCCTAATATGCAAGTAAGCCTTATAATGACATTAAGGTCTCCATGATGATACCGGAGTTATCACGTATGTTCAACCACTGACTAAGCAATGGCTTCTTTCAGTTCCTACTGAGGCTGTGTTACTATCAGCTAAAATCCATAACCCTAGGTAGTCAATAGCTTTTTCCTTTTTTCAGCCTTTCACAAATGGGACAGACATTCCAAACAAACCTCTGGCTTCATGCAGTAACTCTGGCTGTAGTTCCTGCTTCCATGAAGAACTTTAGCACTTTTGATTCCTTACAGGAGGAATCTACCACTACATGTCAGTGCCAGACTGAAAATGCAGTGAGCTTGTGGTTTCAACCTCATGAGAGCTTTGTGCCTGTGTTCCATTTCTGGCCCACAAAGATGTTTATGTGGTTTCAGAGCCTGGCTATATTTTTTGTGCTATTTATTGTATTGTTCTATGTGTTTGGATTGGAGCATACAGGATACATCAAAATTCAGTATGCCACCTTGATTAGAAGTATTTCCACATTTTTTTTTGAATACTAAAAGTAATCATTATGAAAATAATATAATCTCATTAAGTTTAGAAAATAAGAATTACTCATAATCCATTTCAACTCATCCACTATTTGCATTTTAAATTATTTAAATTTTTCTTCTGCATATTATATTTAGACAATTTATATATTTTTAAAATTTCAACCTCTATCATCCCAAACATTTATCCATGTTGATGTGTAGTCTCTGTGACCATCATTTAAATGACTGTATATTAATCCAGCAAGCTGTTCAACTGTTACTTACTTCCCACAGTATTGAGAATTTAAGAAACCTCCAACAATGCTATAAAGAAGTTCTCTGTGTATGTGTTTTCTCCCCACAATAGTCTGATTTGGAGGTGACGGCAGTGAGAGAGGCTAAGCAATGGGACTACCATAATTCTGCAGAGATTGTTGCCCAAAGGCATTACAGGACTATCATAATACATGGCTGAGGTTCACAAGATGGCCCTGATATACGAGGAAAAAATGTAAAATCATATGCCAGTGAAAGATGCATTTCAGAAAGATTCCAATCCAAAATGGTTAACAGTAAATTTTGTAATTAAAGAATGAAGTTTCACAAGGGGTAAGATTCACAATTCACAAACGTGTATCACCTACACTGATGGACAAGGCATTACAAATTTCCACTAATTCCCATAACAGAATATTTTTTACCTTTTTATTGTAATACTAACCTGATATTATTTACACAGTCTTCATGAGCTTCAGAAAGTGTTTTTATGTGCTTTGAAGATATAGGGTCAAAAAGCAGAACTTCAGTTTGTTCACAAGCAACTGTCAGCACTGACCTGAAAGCAAATGACACATTTCTCTTGTTTAGTTTTTTAGCCTACTCTGGTTATTGATGCTCATTTATTTATAAGCACACAAGCTATATGAATACCTTCATTTTTCCCATCTTAGTAGCAAATATTTAAAAGACTGACACTCCTCTGCTGGCAGTACAGGAAATGGTACCCTCATACATTATGGTGGAGTGTAAACTAATACTGCTTATGCTTGAAGAGTACCAGTATCTACTGAAAGTTTAAATGTGCATTCCTTCTGACTCAAGAGATTTTTTTCTGGGAATTTAATCTAGATAAATAATCATATCTATCATAATATCTATCATAAATAATCTATAATCTAGATTTATAAATACAAAGAAGTATATATGAAGATATGCATCACTGTAAGGAGAAATTCAAAGTAACCTAAACATGTATAAAAAAAAGGAATGATTGACTATATAAGCCATCCATTGTACATAATAGTTTGCAATATGGTGCAACATTTACAAAGAAAGGGATAGCTTCATATGAATATCAAAGAACTCCAAAATATATTTTTAAATGAGAAAATCTGATTGCAGAAAAATGTACATAGATGAGGCAAGTTCGGGAAAAAAAATCATACACAACAAAATTATATATTTATTTATCAGTATCTATTAAAATGCTCTGAAAAAGGTCTGGCATATATCCTATCAAACCAGGTATAGTCAAAATTTTATCTTTTCTTCTATGATTTTGTAGTATCATCTCTTGTTTCAGCCCATCCCTATTACAAAGTTGTATTTTTTAAAGCCTTTTACAAGTCCCATTTTGATTTCTGAAAATCTATTGTCTTTTCTTTGTTTTGATTAAGTTTTAGTTTTCTGTGAGCACTCGTCTTGCAGATTCGTGTCTAGCAAATGAAACCTGGAGTCTTTGAAACTGCAGGTCTTCCCGATTTAAAGTTCCAATAACAAATAGCATTTTGTATACTTAAGGTGAAAGTGCATAAGACAGAATTTTAAATAGCCAAACTGCTATTCAGAACAAACATTTTAGATAAAGAGGGAGAGGGAAAAAAATCTACTAAATTGAAATCTTTTCCATATTTAGTAATCATGAAATTGTCCTCTGAAGTGTGGATAAATCTGTTTTTGAAATATCTAGACTTCGAAATTTTAATAATATCTGAAGGATTTTTGTGCTGATTGATCATAAGTAAAAATATTCAAGTTAATAACTGTAATATTAGAAGATATATAAACAGCCATTTATTTTTGTTAGAAGAGTCAAAGAATGAACTTTTTTTGTGCATAAAAGTCAATGAATCAGTGATTCCAGGAAAGGCTTAACCTTAAACATGTAAATAAAAGATCTGTAAAACTGACAGTCATTGTTTTAATATAGTACAACCTATGTTTGTACATGTCATGATTTGCAACTCTAAAATGGGTATAATTTTTCTCAATATCAAAGCCTGTACTTTTCTCATTGGCTTGAAATGCTATCTTTATTTTATATGTTTTGTTTGTGCACTCTATTCTGTTGCATGCAACACCACCACACTATTTTAATTTCTAAAATGTTTGACATGTGACAAATCAAAATCCTCTCATTACTTTATAAACATATTTGGGAGGGCTAATATCATGCTTTCTCTTCCAAATGAATTTTAGGTATATTATGTCAGGTCCTACTAAAAAATCTTGTTGGTATTTTTACTGAGATGCACTGACTTTACAAGTTAATTTGGAAGAATTTGTGACATACAATATTAAAGGATCCCATCAGTAATATGTATACTTTATACTCAAAATTTTCTTAGCAAAGAGTAGCTTAGAAAATCTTAGGCCTCTGAAAATCCTTACACATTTAGAATCAACTTATCAAATTATGTATACACACACACAAATCTAGCTGTGACTTTTAATTGGGATTGTAATATATCTATAGAAAACTTTGCATAGAATTGGTGTATTTACAACATGGAATGTTCTAATCCATGAACATAGCACATCTCCATTTACTATGGAGATTTTCGACATGGGTTATCCCTACCTTTTGTTAAATTTATTCCTGGGTACTTGACTTTTCTATGCTTTTGTAAATGTTCTTTAAATTTTGCTTTAGTGCTGGTGTACAGAAATGCAACTGATTTTTAAAATATTATTTATCCATCAATTTTGCTATTTAATACTTTATCTGGAGGTTATTTTAGGTTTTTTTTGTTGATAAACACATCAGTTACAAAAAATTGCTTTGATCTTTCTTATCACTTTTTCTTCTTGCTGCACTGGCTACAACTTTCAATACAATATTGAATAGAATATTAATATTGCAGGCACTCTTGCCTTGTTTCTGATCTTTAAGAATACATTCACTTTTTCATCACTAAGTACAATGTTTGTTTTGCAGTTTTGTTTTGTTTTGTGGTGGATTCCTATTATTGGATTAAAGAAGTTCTCTTCTTCAGATATGCTAATTTTTTCATTAACATATGTTAAACTGTATAAAACATTTTTCAACATTTATAGAAATATTCAGTATTTTTCTATATGTTAATGTAGTGATTGACATTAGTTTCTAATGTGAAATCAACCTGTCATTTCTACCATCTTGCTAGATTCAGTTGGCTAAAATAAATGTTCACATCTCTTTCCCCTCTTCTGCAGATGTTGGTCCTGCAATTTGCTCATTGTTTTCATTCTCCAATCCCTTCAAACATGACTTTTCAATATCTTACATTAAATATTTTATATTTTCTCTAGCTTTTCTAATTATTCTCAGTCAGAGGGTTGGTCCAAACCACCTTCTCTGCTACTTCTGGAAAACTACAATTTCTATACATCTTGCTTCTGAAGTTATGTCCTCCTTTCATTCTGAATATTGTTTATTTGGGTATTCTCTTTACAATACAATGAGTGTTCATCATTTTTACTTTCCTTTCATAGACAAATTTTCCCTCTGTTTCTACTGAATTTTTAAAATTTCACTAATTCTACTTTTTGACTGTATTTCCTTCTATTTTCTTCAGACTTGCTATTAGTTTGCAGATAACGTCACTACACTTTTTCTCTTTCTTGAGGTGGAGACTTAATTCATTAATTTCCTTCTCTTCCTTTCCATTTTATAACAGACTATAATTTTCCTACTAAGTATTGTTTTACTTATATTCCACAAGTTTTGAGTTGTGGTATGTGTATACATATGTGGTACTTTCATTATCATAATTTAGTCCTAAATATTCATAATTTCCATTATCATTTTTTCTTTGGCCTTTGAGTTATTTATATATGTTTCTTAACTTTAACACACATGAGGTTTCTCTAGTTATCTTTTTGGTATTCATTTCTCGTGATCACATTGTACTGAGAAACCGTACTCTTGATAATCTTTTGAAATATGTGCCCTTGTAAGTGAAAATTCTGTAAATCTTCCTTGTGTATTTGAAAAAACAAGCATGAAGCAGCTGTTACATATAGTCAAGTGCAATATTTAAAAACGTTAAGCATTCAAGAGTAATTTAAATTATGAATAGAATTTAAAAAATATTCTAAGTAAACTTGTAGATTATTTAAGTGCTTTCCTAGTAGTACTAATTATAACTCAAATTGTTCAAATTATTTTGGTAATTTCTAATATTTACTAAGTTTTAAAAATTGTACCCATAATCTTTTGTTTGACCCACATACCTTGTCTGAACTATGAACTGGCATAGAAAATTACATGAAGCCCCTCCCAAAATTTCCACATTAAATAGGCAGTCGTTAAGTAACTTGTAGTCTTGGTAACTAAAAAATCACTCTTAACATCAACAGAATTGGGGCTGAATCTTCTTTTTAGCTTTTGCTGAAGTAACAGTATTTTAAAAAATTTTAGCCCTTAGAGTGCTTGCCGTTAACTTTGCATATTCAGTATGTACTCAATTGTATTACTGTCACAAAAATAAATTAGAAATACATATTTAATATCAAACATATCCCTCAGTCCAGAGGAGAATGCAATATACTATATAAGAGCATAAACCATGGTACAGATCCTTTGTGTTTAACAATCTTTCTGCCTCTCAGTTTCCTCAACTAAATGTGCCTAGTACAGAGATTTGTGTTGGTGGTCATTTTCATTAATAAAATGAGTGTTATTAATGCCCATGGTGGGCATGTAGTCTGTGGGTTTGGCAAATTTATCCCACTAAAAAATGGTGAAATTCAATAGGAATGATAATATTAGGGATCTGCCTCCCAGAAGGCATTCATCCACAAACCATCCCCTAGGACTCACTCATCTCCCTAGATTCTATCCCGCCATTGGAGTGCACACTATGCAAGGAGTCAGTATACTTAGATGGTGCCTAAGGTAGTGCTACTACCCTCATGTGAGTGCCCTCTTTATTTCTTTTGATTTCACGAGAGGCTGCAGTTTCCACAAATGGCCATGTGAGAATGACTGGAAGAGTGCCTGAGAAAGGCAGGCAGCACCACACTAAGGGAAGCTAAATGGTCACTGGGCATTTGCCTATGGATTTTTTTGTATGGGTGAGGAGCAATTAGCATGGATGCTATAGCTCTCCAGTGTGACGCTTGCTGGCAGCTTGCTGTACCCATTCTTAACTTTTCAGTTGCTATATAATGAGTTATTCTGGGAGGTCTCAGAACATGCTGAAGCATAAGAAGGGCACTCAGTGGACTTGGGCAGTAACTAACTATCAACCACTATAGACATATAATATTTTAACAACTGGTACAGCTGTACCAATGTGTACTATCTGAGTATCAGGCCTGAATGCAGCATTCTACACATGCTATTTAGAGCAAGATTTTAAGTGTTTATATCTTATGTATCCTTATGTTTATGTCTGCCTGATGAACTGAGGTACACTATGATGTGTACTAAAGTCTTCCCCATGATGATATATTGGTCTGTTTTCTCCTTGAAGTTATCAATTTTTGATTTATACATTTTAAATCTAAAAGACCCATCAAGTTCACAACTGTTGTATGTTTCAGGTGAATTGAGCTTTTATCTTCTGAAGTGACCTATCTAGTAATTTTTCTGCCTTAGCCTATTTTGTGTATATTAATACAGCTTACCAGCTTTCTTTTGTTTAGAATGTGTTTGCCATCTTGTTCTCTATCCTTTTGAACATTCAGTACTTTCATATTTATTATATATAATTAGTAATATCTGGATATATTTTCAGCTATTTGTTGTGCTTTTTATTTATTATACCTCTTCTTTCCCTTTCTTCTCTTGGAATTGTTTTTCTCATTCCATATTTTTTCCTCTACTAATCTGGAAATTTATTTTTCTTGTCTTTTGATGGTTACCTTGAAAATTTTAGTATGCCTATATTAAAACCTAAAGTTAATATATAATTCTCCCTTAAAAAATATAAGGAATTTAGGACATTCCTTCATAATTGATATGCTATTGTTGTCTTCTCTTTCAGTTCCATCTTTGTTAATCTCAAAAGACAAAATTAGATGCAGTTTTACATACATACTTTCTACTTTGTTCATCATTCATTCTAGCTTCTTAAACCTTCCAGTTGAAAACACTTTATTCTCTCTGAACTTGGAATTCCATTATGGAAGGCCTTTGGCAAACCCCCTGAGTTTTGTTTGTGTGAATATATTATTCACTTTTGTTCTTAGCAAGAACAAATCATCTGTGTTTGGTATAGTCATCTAGACTAGCAGTTTCCCCACCCCCATCATACTGAAAATAATCACTGCTGTCCTCTAATTTACACTATTCTGATGATTAATTGGCTATCACTCTCAGAGTCACTCCTGTGAAGGTCTTTCTCTAGCATTTAAGATTTTATATTTGTTGTCCTGCAGTCTAGGGAGGAGTCCTGCTTGGGGTGTATTGAGCTTCTTAAAATCATGGCTTGGTATCTTTCCTCAATTCTGGAAAGTTCTCAGCTATTACCTCTTCTAATAGTTTTGTTGCCCCATTATCTATCTCATTTTCTTCAGAAACTGACCAAATATATGGTATGCTCTTTCTACGTTCCACATCAGTAAAACTCCTTCATATTTTCAATCTTTCTTGTCTGTATTTTGGGTAATTTCTTCACTTCTGTTTTCCAGTACACTAGTTCTCTCTACAACAGTGCCTCCTGTGTTTACTCACAGAGGATGGCTTGAGAAAGTCCCACCTATTACTATCAAATCTATTAAAATTATCAAATTTCCTTTTTCAAAATGTCATCTTACGAGGTGATAGACTTATTTTGACAATGTTGCAATTGCTTGATTTTTTTGGAATTCTTTAGAAATTAATATCCTTTCTTTTTTAATGCCAAATTCTTTCTAGTCTGGTCTTTATTAAGTTCATGATTTTAATTCTTCTCCTCTGTGTCACCTTTCCCTTTGTGTACTAAGTCCTTGTAAGTGACAGTGGTTATGGTACCCAGTAAACTGAGGATATGAGAAATTACCTCATTTAATACAGATATGTCATTTTTCTATAAAATTACTTTAAGTCCTGTAAAAATTTGGGACATACTAATAGATGTCTTAAGGACACTAAAACATTAAAATATTTAACTTTTTTCCACTCTCGCCCTGACATACATGAAGAATAGCAATGTGCAATGTTGGCAAGGGTATGGGGAGAAAAGGCACTTTCCCAGTGTCTGACAGGAATGAGAACTGGTACAATCATCATAAACAGCAATTAATAATAGGTATCCCAAGTCTTCATCACCTTTGGCTCATTTTAGGGATTTAGCCTAAGGACATAAATTTAAAAATTTTGTTTATACATGTTTCATTTAAACTAATGAAAAATTTTAAATAACATTTTAGAAATATATTAACACAGATAATTCACAATATATTGTATGAAAAAAAGCAGGCTACAAAACTGTATGATTCCAAGTTCATACTAAAATAAACATATAAAAAATTTCCTTGGATAACAACTTTATCTCTGGGATCATAAGTGATGTTTAGCTTCTTTTTTGGCCATTTATTGTCTAGGGTTTTCTACAGTGAGTGTGTATGTTAATTCTGTAAACATTACTGGATTATTTTAAGTACCAAAGTACCTAACCACCTTTTATAAAAATATTTCTATGGGAAAATGTAGTCCAGATTCAAATAAGAACTATCAGTAATATATTCCTCATTCTAACAGCAATGGGAAGGGGAATTCCTTCTTCATAACTCATTCAACCCCTCTCACCTTCTACCTAAAATGCCACCTCCAACGAGAAGAAACAGCTACTTCTGAAGACTGTCAAAATATGTAAGGAGAGGTATGGAGGAGAGAGGAACTGAATGTTAATGAGGAACAGACTCCTGGTATTTTGGGAGGAGCTTTAGGAGTAGGGTTTGGTTAGGGGAAGGAGTGGGGAGAGAAGGTTTTATGAATACACTTCAGCAAAACAGTTTCTCCTCCCACCAATTCTCCCTTAATTTAGATGTATATTCACTGTTACAAGTTCCACCCAACTGTTGTGAGGGGAAACTCTAGAGATCCAAGCATCCAGTGTGAAACATTTACATCAGTGAAATGGAAGAGGGTGTACCTGCTCCCAGAGATTCCAGATCCTGTTGCATTTCTCCTTCCATAGCATATTTTAGGTCTTTAGCAAAGTTCTTGCTTTGTTAAGCTATCATCTTTCAGCTTCTCTAACATAATGTACTGTCCCTCCAAACACAGGTCCTTTGACATACCAGTTCCTTCATCTGAAATAATTCTATCCCCTCCCCAATCCTGTCTTGACTAATTCATCTTCTACTCATTTTTCTGATCTTGGTTAAAGATCACTTCCTCAGGGAAATCTCAAACGCCTTAGTCTACAATGGGTTCCTTCAAGCCTTTATCTCAATTTTTAAATATACATTATAAATTATTTAGTATGGTTATTAATATCTGACTAAACCAATAGGTCCCAAGCTCAGTGAAAGCAGTACCATTAGCTGGTTTTGCTCACAACTGCAACCTTTGTACCTGGAACATAGCAGGTGCTCAACTAGTATTTGCTGAATAAATGATGAACTGAGCAAATGACTGGAATCCAGAGGTCAGGTGAGTTATATTATGTTGTATCATGGTGGGGCTGTGGGTAAATGTCTTCCTTTGATTGCTATTGAACTTGTGCATGTACTTGACAAAGTTTTAAAATATATATTATTTTGAAAATTCCCCATAGCCCAAAGTAAACCAAAGCCAAACATGGAATATTTAATCAGCCAGGAAAACGGCTGGATACCCTTAACAGAAGCATGTAGTCTAGCCTGGGAACTTCATAAATGCTCCATAAGACACCTCAATGCAGTGTCTTAGTGTCTTACAGAAGCAAAGGAACACACACTTGTCTCTCAGCATAAGTCAGGCACGGGGTACAGGTAACCTGAAGGCTCCCTATACTTGACACAAGTTTAGGTGAGAAAAACGCAAGCCTAGGATGACAGGGAAGAATGGGTATTCAAAATGTATTTGCTGAGCATCTACTGTGTACCAGAAAAGTCTAGTTTTGCACTGGCCCTGAAAGACCTGCCTTGTGACTTCAGGCATTTCTCCTTCGCAGGAACATCTGCGCCTCCAAGGTGAGCAAATGAATCACACGCCTGCCTACCTCAAAGGGCTGGGGTGGGCCTGCAACAGCCACAGAGCGCTTCGGCAAGTGACAGGGGTTATGAAGGCCAGCAAACGTCGACCCAGGCCGAGCAAGCGAGCTCTGGGCAGCAGCCCACGGGCAGCAGAGCCAGGCGGAGGCGGGTACCCGCCCTCCGAGGGGCCGCGCTTACCCGTCGGGAGAGTACTCGAGGTTGAAGACTGCACCGTGGGTGCGGGTGCTGAGGTACACCGAGTCCGCGGGATGGATGGAACCGTAGAGGTTAGTCATGGTGCGGAAATTGTCCCGCGCCGGGTCCACGCACAGCCCGCGGCCCAGGCTGCGCGCTCTCAGCCACCCGAAGAGCCGGGCGCCGGGGCCGCCCAGGCTGGCGCAGAGGCCGTGCTGGCCCCGGCTTCCGACCCTGCAGTCTGGCCCGGGTCGCCGGCGCGGAGGGGAGGGCGGCGACGACTTTCCCTGGGCGGCAGCAGCTGAGGACTCCAGAACCTCGGCGCACGCGGCCGGGGGCAGCGAAGGGGCGCCGGGGCAGGGCGGGCTCCAGGAGGGCGACGGGGGAGGGACTGCGTCAGCCCCGGGCGGTGGCGGCGCGGGCGGGGAAGGGAGCGGCCCGGTGACTGCCGCCCGCCCTCCGTTGGGTGCCGGCTCCTCAGCCCCGGCTCCGGCCGCCTCGTCCCCTTCGGGACTACGAGGCCCGAAGGGAAACATGACCAACGCACCCGCCCCCGACTCCCGGCCGCTGCCCCGCCGGCCGACACCTCAGCGCTCCCGCTCCAGCCGCCACTTCCGGCGTGCGGCGGCCTAACCCCGCCGGCTGGGAAACTCGCGTCACCCCTTGGTCACCATCTGCCCGGGACCACGAAAGCGGGGACACCGCCCGACCGCGGGTGCCGCGTCTTTTCCTCCCGGATCTTTGCACTAAGATGAGCGAAGGAAAGAAATTAACGATATTATGTGCAGGGTATACAAAGTAAGTGGCATGGAACACTGCTTACTCAGCGTGGGACAGGTTAACTTATGCATTAAAAAGCCCTAGTCTGTACAGTGCCTGGAAAATGGGGCCTATTGGTGTCCCGTATATGTGCCCAACTCCCTGCTACTTCCTGGTAGGTCAAGACTTTAATCGAGACCAGAGACTTCCTCTCTAAAGGAAGAGCATATATCCAGCCAAGAGTCACTGAGCGGGGCTGAAGACCTGAGTTAAATCAACTTTACAAGCAATAAAACCCAGGGTCAAGCCTGCTTACATCTGCTAGGCAGGGTGGGCATGGAAGGTATGACGGGTTGACAAGGACTGACGTGTTTCTTGGGGAGGGAAGGAGAATCTTCAATTAAAAGAAAGTTTGAGGTAGGAGGAAAGGTAGATAAAAGAACTGGTAACTCTTCTAGGCCTTGATCGTGAGCTGTGCTGCAGAAAGCATACATGTAATTAATGACTGAGGGTAAATCTGGAGGAAGGGAATGAGACTCAGAGGGCTGAACGAACATTCAGCAGATTCTCCCACCAATTAAGTTAATCCTTCCACCAATTCAGCTATCCTGTCAATGAGCTGAATAGAAGAAGGGTGAGAAGCAAGCATCCTGAGTTCAGAGAAGATCAAGGCAGCCATTCCTCTGGAGATATTCCTTATTTTGCTCCCAAAAAGCAGAAGGGGAGGGGGTCTTTTTTTTTTTTTTTTGTATTT